CTTATGCACCAGGACAACAGATCTGAGCCACCGCGTCTCCCTAAAGCCTTTCTTCTATCAGTTTATTTCATCTACTGTGATATTGGTTTGGTCGGATCCCGACATTTCTCCACGATGCTGAGTTGGTGAATTTGTGTCATCAGTCAATTGTTCACCTTGAACTTCATCTTTTAGCTTGTCAAAAAAGAGATTATTTTTTACACTTATCCAAGCACCAGCATGAATCCCTAAGGAAGCAGGATGGAGGACGTCATCAATGCCACTGGGACCTTCAGTCCCTGCCCCTGTCCAGGACGCCCTGAGAGGTGGTGCAGGGCTGTGTGTGGTCTCTGGAGCCCACTCCCATGTGCCACAAGGCCAGGAGCAACTGGAAGAACCAGCACCACAGCTGTGGAAGGCCTCTGCCGTGTGGGACTCTTGACCCCAGCAGAGACACTGAGCAAGTGTGTGTGTGTGTGTGTGTGTGATGGGAAGGGCCTGGTCATTTTAGGGCAAAGTGTTAACCAGTTCATTCTTTTTCACCCAGACGCAACTGACAGATACTGTCAATTGTCCTGCTGTGACTCTTCAGTGGGACAACAATTCCTCAAACTGTTATCAGTACCTTTTCTTTTCTATTTTCTATTTTCTCCTTAAAGATGTACTTGTGTTATATCCCTTGAGCAAATGAGCACAAACACCTCAAATCAAAGTGAAGCAAATAATATGAGGTGAATCCCACCTGGGGGGATGTTTGTAGTGACAGGCTGCAGGGCTGTTCTCAGCTGTGCCCTACTCAACAGTCTCATCCAGGACTTGGATGAATACCTAGAAACTCTGCTAAATTTACTGATGACACGATGCTGAGAGACACAGCAAATCTATTGCATGACAATATCAGCAGTGAAAATTATTTTAGCCAAATAGGATAAGAATGCAAAAAAGTCAGGAACACAGAAATTTAACATCAATGAAAGCTCTGGATTTAGGTTCAAAACAGCAATTTATAAGTACAGGATGTGGACTATATGGCTTGAATACGGGCCATAATATGCCAGAGGACAAGACGGGCTACATGATGCCGTGTGGTGTCCAGTCCTCAGCACCTGGGCCACTGTCAGGAAGACAACGCCAGGATGGCGAGGATCCTGAAGCAAGGTCATATGAAGAACAGCTGAGAAAACTGGAAATGGTCACCTGTGAGAAGAAAAGTCTCAGTAGTCATCTTCAAACCCATGAAAACTGGAAATTTTGGGGCATTATGTTTTGTTTATTTTTCTTTTGTGTCAAAATTTATATGATTTTTATTGAAATTATATGCATTTTATTGAAATCATATGCTTTCCCAATGGGAAAGAGGAACCTAAAACCCACACCAGATGAGGACAACCCTAGAAAAACAGATAAACTAGGAGAGGCGTCTGCAATGCCAAAAGACTCCTCACTGTCTGGAAGGATTTTCCCCAGTATTTTGCCAAACAGAAATCAATCACTTTCAGCTGAATAGTGTGTATGACAGAAGTTGATAGGGAAGGAAAGTACTGAATTTAGAGTGATAGCGTGACCTCCTGCTAATTGAATAGCACATCCAAAAAAAAAAAAAAAGATATATCTCAAATTATATTTCATCAATGGGCAAATAAGGTGGCGTTTATCAGAAGTGTTTTTATATAGCCATGATGTGCAGTTGACATGTACATATGCTCACAAGCAGTTACCTGAACATACTCCTTCAGCCATCTCTCCGGTAATGAAGAAGTTAATGTCTTATATTTGGTTTCTGAACATTTTATAATGCTTAACTAATTATAAACTGAAAATAAAATCCCTTGAATTCAATATCTAATGAAAGAGCCAGCATCCATTGACCTACCACCCGCCCATCCTCTATCCTCCATTTGTTCTCCGTCCATCCTCCATTTGTTCATTCATACATCTACCCATCTATTCACCCACCATGCATCCTCCATCCATTACTCATCTATCCTTCATTCATCCTCTCCCTATTCATCTACTCATCCTTCATCCATCCATCATCCACCCAGCTATCCAAGGTCTACTGGGCATTCAGAAATAAAAGCTCTAGTTTCTAGGTTCTATTCATAGTAGTGCGCACTCTAGTGAGAGACAGATTGTGAACAGGACATTCCAGTTCAGGGTTATAATCTCAGTCATTGAGGTATGTACAAGACTTCACAGAGACTGCACTGTATGGAGAAGAGAAGACCTCCCTGAGGAGAAGATGCTCAGTGGAGGCCCAGAAGGGCACTACAGCCAGGCATAGGGGGGCACCAATGCGGAGGCATGGGGGCAGGAGAGAAGCGGAGGCTTGCTAGAAGCCCACCTGCTCCAGAACTTGGGGGCCATGGGGATATGAAGGCACCATCAGAGACGAACCAGGAAAAATAACCGGAGCCCCAATCCTGAAATGTTTTGTGGATAACCCTGAAGAGTTTGGGTTTTTGAGTGGGGGAGAGATGTCGGCACCTCTCACAATCTTCTCTGCTACCCACTGGTCTGAGTAAGCAGCATCATTAGAGTGATCATTCAATACAGAAGTCAGAACAAGTTGCCTACAGCCTAAAACCCTGCGATGGAACCACCTGCCATAAGGCCCTACATACTCCCCCTCCAATAGCTCCCTGATCTCATTCCCTCCACTGTCAACCCACACCTATCTTGCCCCAGCCACCCCAGGCTGTGTGCTGTTCCTTGAAGCCTCCAGGTATGTTCTTACCTTAGGGTGTATCTCTGTGTCTTCTCTCTGCAAGGAATGCCCTTCCCACAGATCCTCCATGGCTCACTCCCTCACCTCCTCTGACCATATGTCAACTTCTCACCAAGGCCTGTCTTGGCGGCCCTGTTGAAAACTTCACATATATGTGTGCACATGCACACACATGCACACATGTGTGCACTCCAGGCATTTTTGATCCCTTACCCTGCTTTATTTTTCCACAGCACTTAGCCCCTTCACAATTATTATGATATAATTTATTATGTGTATAATCTTTCTCCTTCCACTGGTCCGTAACCCTGTGAGGGTTGAGGTTTCTGTTTTGCTCACTGACACCCAAGCACCCAGGACAAAACCTCACACGTGCAGATGCTTAATCAATGTTCGCTGAATGAACATGAGATTGGATTCGTTTTCTCTTTTTACAAAAACCAGCCAGTGAAAATAGGAAGAGTGATGTGCAAGGATTTGAAATTGGGCCTGGTGAGACCATTTAAAGTTTGTTGCTGTGATAATGCTGACAGATTGAATGAAGCAGTTGCCATGGGGAGGGAGGGGAGGGCATGAGCTAGCTTCATTAAAGGGATAGAATTGTCAGGGCTGGGTGGGTGAGCCCAGGCTTGTGCCTCATAATGATGCCGCAGTCAGTGATGGACAGCATATACGACAGTGGTCTCATAGATTATAATGCCGCATATGTAAAAACCTGACATTGGCATTTGACAGTGGCATCGCAGATGAAGTAGGGGACATTTCCCTACTTCATGACTGATACTCAGCAATGGTGCTGGGACACTTGGTTTCCCTTATAACAAACGTACACAAGTAAAAATATGTATGCAATCTAGGTTTATGTGAATATGCTCTATGATGTTTGCACAATGACAAAGTTGCCTAAAGACACGTTTCTCAGGACATATCTCCATGATTAGCAACGCACGACTGTCTCTGGATATGGGATATGGGCAGCTAGGATGACTTAGCGGCGTGGACCATAAGGCATTGGTGGTGCCATTCACAGTGTTAGGAGGGGAGAGAAGAGATGCTGTTTTTGGTGGATGGCAAAGGCATGATAAGCTCAGTTTCAGACGTGCTGTCCTTTGGTTCTCTGAGGGACAACTTAGTAGTTGCAAAATGTCTTTATATATATCAGTGTGAATATTGACTTTACAATTTCTTTTCCTCGTGGACAGCCACTACCAAACACATATAATATACTTTGAATGTCTACCAAAATAAGAATAACCAACCACGATAATTTACTGTTTATCTTATAGTCATTTGGCCTTCCTTCTGGTCCTATTTGAGATTAAAAAAAAATCACTGTATAAGGTAAAAACCACATGTCTTTACCCATTGTCTGTTTTCACACTGACATCCAGAGAATCTTGTCCCGCAGCACCCTCAGATGCCATCTAACGATTCCTAAAATGATGATGTCCTTAGCTAGTGTACCTCAGCCAGAAGCAAATTCACAGCAATCCGATTCTTAGGGAAACCACTAGATTTTTTTTTTTTTTTAAAGAAAATAGCTGGCAAGAATCTGGCTTCTCTGCAGCTTCTGCAGCAGTAACCTCCTCTCATGATAAACTGTACCCACTTGCTAGAAACTCAGCAACTTGCTTTTTCCCGTTCTGTGTGGCTCCCAGATGGCCGCCAGCTGGCCGGAGCTATTTCCTGCATTCTAATCCCTTCTGCGTCCTCCCGGTTCTCTTTTTGATCTCCCACGTCTGTCCCCTCCTCCTTCTAACACAAACCATACTATTCCCTGCTTTGGAAGCACCTATTTTCTAAGAAAATCTTGAGGAATTTTCTGGAGGCATTACGTCTTTTTGTTTCGAAACTTTTGGGTTGTAAAGAAAACCAGCTGCAGAGCTATGCAGAGGCCCAGCTCTGCTCCATCAGCAGAAGAACAGCTGTATCGGAGGGCAGGATGAGGACCTCCGCCTTGCAGGGGTCACGGCAGACTGTTTTGTGACACGGCCATTGGGGGACAAATGGACCTGGCATTCTCTAGAAACCACGCTTCAGTATTGGAGCTGCACTCCTCCTCCTTTGAAATCATGGCAAGGAGACACTTATTCCCCCCGCGCACTCATGGACCAGCAAGAGCCACTGATGGATGCATCACTGGATCCTGTCTAACCATTTTTGTTCTATCTCCCTGTTACCAGAGTATTGGACCACAATCCCAGTTGTTTGCAATAAATGGCTTGTCTTGATTTTCCAGATTATAGCTAGAAGATTGCCTGAAACAATGAATTGTAGAATGGAGCAGGATGTCTGTGTGTCTGCGTCTTCATCCGGGTTTGTCAGGCCAGTGAGTGCTGGGTCTGTGTCTTGGAGGAAAGGGCTTTAGTGGGATCTCCATGAAGACCTGTGTACAAGGAGGGTTTCTGTACAGAGCATGTCTGAGTGGGAGAGTGGCAGCAGATTCCCAGGTGAGGGGTGGAGGCTGATGGTATGTCAGACTAGTGTCAATGCCTGTGTGTGCATAGGGGTCTGTGTGGGTGACTGTGTGAGTGTGCATGTGTGTGCACAGGGAATCTGTATAGGTGACTCTGTGTGTGTGTGCACAGGGGATCTGTATAGATGACTGTGTGTGTGCACAGGGGATCTGTTTAGGTGACTGTGTGTGTGCACAGGGAATCTGTATAGGTGACTGTGTGTGTGTGTGTGCACAGGGGATCTGTTTAGGTGACTGTGTGTGTGTGTGTGTGTGCGCACAGGGGATCTGTATAGGTGACTGTGTGTGTGCATAGGGGATCTGTATAGGTGACTGTGTGTGTGTGCACAGGGGATCTGTTTAGGTGACTGTGTGTGTGCATAGGGGATCTGTTTAGATGACTGTGTGTGCACAGGGAATCTGTATAGGTGACTGTGTGTGTACACAGGGGATCTGTATAGGTGACTGAGTGTGTGCACAGGGGATCTGTATAGGTGACTGTGTGTGTGCACAGGGAATCTGTATAGGTGACTGTGTGTGTGCACAGGGGATCTGTATAGGTGACGGTGTGTGTGCACAGGGTATCTGTATAGGTGATGGCGTGTGTGCACAGGGGATCTGTTTAGGTGACTGTGTGTGTGCACAGGGCATCTGTATAGGTGACTGTGTGTGTGCACAGGGGATCTGTATAGGTGACTGTGTGTGTGTGTGTGCACAGGAAATCTGTATAGGTGACTGTGTGTGTACACAGGGGATCTGTATAGGTGACTGTGTGTGTGCACAGGGGATCTGTATAGGTGACTGTGTGTGCACAGAGAATCTGTATAGGTGACTGTGTGTGTGCATAGGGGATCTGTATAGGTGACTGTGTGTGTGTGCACAGGGGATCTGTATAGGTGACTGTGTGTGTGTGCACAGGGGATCTGTATAGGTGACTGTGTGTGTGCATAGGGGATCTGTAAGGTGACTGTGTGTGCACAGGGGATCTGTTGAGGTGACTGTGTGCATGGGGGATCTGTATAAATGACTGTGTGTGCACAGGGAATCTGTATAGGTGACTGTGTGTGTACACAGGGGATCTGTATAGGTGACTGAGTATGTGCACAGGGGATCTGTATAGGTGTGTGTGTGCACAGGGGATCTGTATAGGTGACTGTGTGTGTGCACAGGGGATCTGTATAGGTGACTGTGTGTGTGCACAGGGGATCTGTATAGGTGACTGTGTATGTGCACAGGGAATCTGTATAGGTGACTGTGTGTGTGCATAAGGGAACTGTATAGGTGACTGTGTGTGTGCACAGGGAATCTGTTTAGGTGACTGTGTGTGTGCACAGGGGATCTGTTTAGGTGATTGTGTGTGTGTGCACAGGGGATCTGTATAGGTGACTGTGTGTGTGCATAAGGGAACTGTATAGGTGACTGTGTGTGTGCACAGGGAATCTGTTTAGGTGACTGTGTGTGTGCACAGGGGATCTGTTTAGGTGATTGTGTGTGTGTGCACAGGGGATCTGTTTAGGTGACTGTGTGTGTGTGCATAGGGGATCTGTTTAGATGACTGTGTGTGTGCACAGGGGATCTGTATAGGTGACTGTGTGTGTGCACAGGGGATCTGTATAGGTGACTGTGTATGTGCATAGGGAAACTGTATAGGTGACTGTGTGTGTGCACAGGGGATCTGTTTAGGTGACTGTGTGTGTGTGTGCATAGGGGATCTGTTTAGGGGACTGTGTGTGTGTGCATAGGGTATCTGTATAGGTGATTCCTTGTGTGCACATGGGGTCTGAGTTTGTGTGCAGGTGTATGTTTGTGTACCTGGCCCTATGAGGGTAGGTGCGGTGAGGTGGAGTTGGGTGGGTCGCTTTGGAGGTGGTATCTGTTCTGTGGGGGGCTTTGTGGGGTGACGTGAGGAGATGCACTGGGGGGAGTGACACAGGGCAGCTGTGGAGGACGTTTTAGGGTGTCTGCCAGGGTGTTGGGTGTACTTTGAGATGTTTTGGGGTATGTTTGGGGGCACCTGTGAAAGTGTCTGTGTGTGTCCATGGGGATCTTGTGGGTCTCTATTTGGTGGTGTGTGTAGTTTGTGTGTTGTGTTGGTGAGGGTGATTGTGGAGTTTCTGTACAGTGTCTCCGGAGTGAGTATAGAGTTTCTACAAAATGGTGTGCTGATATTCATGGGGTGCTTGTGGGGCATCTGTGAAGGTCTATGCATTTCGGTTTGGGGATTATTATGGGGTGTTTCTGGCTGTCTGTGGGTTTGTCCCTGTGGACAAGTGGCTGTGAATGTGGTCTGTGTCCCTGGGAGTGGCTTCTTTGGCTTTTCTGTGTGCTTTGCCTGTGAGTAGCTGGGTCTGTGAATTTAGCTCCACAAAAGCAAAAAGCCCATGAGAATTCCACCAGGGGCAAACCTGGCCTTGGCGCTTTACTGTTCTGCATGTGTCTGGCCCTCCCATTCCTAGCCAAGGCCAGCAGCCACCCCAGATGACCTGCTGATGCCTTTGCTGAAATGAGTGGCTACTGGCCAACAGCTTGGTGAGAGTGTCAGCTCCCACCCAAGAGGAAATCAGAGGTGAGTCACTCCTGATCCCAGTGTGTGTAGTCACTTGCTGTGTGGTTCTCATGCTGATTCCCAGGGCACCTGCAAACATCCCCATGGGTGTCCCAGCCCATAAAACCATGCACCTGTTACCTCCAGAACTAATGTCTTGGGGCTGAAAACGTAGTGGACCATGCCCCTTCCTGCTATCTTCGAGATGATGTGAAAGAGCAAGAGGCACTTGAATTTCAATCTCCTGTTCTCCAAATGGACTCATTCATTCCCTTTAAGGAAAATGAGATGTTTCAGAGATCACAACCTTAAATTTTACCCTGAAAGTTAAAATAAAACAACTATCATTCCATTTAGAAGAATCTGGGGTCTCCTCATCCACAGGCCATTGTGGGTGAATGGGTATTTATATTTATATTTGATGTGCAGCATTGGCGCTCAATATAAACAACTAGACCCTTTCAGTGTCTCCAGGAGGCGGCTTGCGTTGCTCCCAGGGAAGCCGAAGCTGAAGGAGGCCACACTCCTGTCCAGCCTCCACATGGAGTGGCCTTATCCGCATGGGTGCTCCCCGGCCCTTCCATTCAGGGCTCTCCAAGGCCCTCGGGGTTTGATCTCAGCTAGCTCACTCTAGGGGTGCACACAGAGTCCCAAGCAAAAGCAGGCGCTGGCAAGGAGGCCCGCAAGTGAGCTTCTTGCAATCCTGAGCACAGCTGCACACACCTTGAGGGCAGGGAGATGCTATTTTAAGCAGCCCTTGAATTGCCATCACAGAGTGATTTAGCTAGTCTGGCCTTTTTGTTTGAAAAAGGTATTATTTTTCTAACTTCAAAGCCAAAAGCCAGGGATGTTTATTCCTTATCGTTTCCTATTAATTTCAGGAAAACGTCTGTAGTTTCCAAGAAGCACAACAGGAGCCACCTCTTTACTGCTTGCTCCTGAAGAGTTGTGCTCCCTGAACCCCACCCTGCAGGTGTTGGTTTGCCCAGAGCCCTGTCCTTAAGATACCACATGCATTACCTCCTGGTGAGTGAGTTATGGGACTTCTCCTCCTTCTCGATACACCTGAATGACCTCATTTGCATCTCAAGGCTCTCTGGGAGGAAAGGTGGCACAGGAATTAGTGTCTTCAGATTATGAGGAAGGACGTGGAGGCAGAGGTAAGGACGTGGCTAAAACCAAGCTGCAGGGAGCCTTTGGATAGGGGGCGGAGCTTCGGCTCCTAGGCAAGGCCTCTCTCTCTCTCCCACTGCACCCAGCAATGAAGTGCTGCGTGTCTCCAAGATACGAGGTGCTCTTCTCTCTAGCAGCATAAGATCTGTTGGAATGAGACATACCTACAAAACCTGACTGTGAGGGGGTGACGGGGAAAGGCCTTGGGAGGCTGCCAAGAAGGAGGGTTACAGAGGGAGGCTGTGTCCTGTGATCAGTGTGTTTTTGGGAAGCGAGGGGATTAGATCTGAGCACCAAAGATGGGAGAGGGATTTGAAACGCTGGGATGGAGGGAAGGACACTTTACCGTTGCAAGTTTGTAAGACAAGATGCTAAGGAAGTAAGCACAGACAGGCTCTGAAGAGAGCCCACTCCAGGCCCACGAGGAGGAGGCTCCAGCAGGCCAGACTATGGCAGAGAGGAGTGGAAAGAAGGCCAAGGCAGGAGGATTGTTTGAGGCCAGGAGTTTGAGACCAGCCTGTGTAGCATAGTGAGAGCCTGTCTCTGCCAAAAGAAAAAAAAAAAGAGTAATTAGCCAGGCACGGTGTCATGCACGTGTAGTCCCAGCTGCTTGGGAAGCTGAGCCCAGGAGTTCGAGGCTACAGAGAGCTATGATGGTGCCACTGCACTCCACATTCCAGTCTGGGTGACAGAGCTAGACCCTGTCTGGAAGAAAAAAAAAAAAAAAAAAAGGAAAGAGAAATAAAACAAAAGGGAGAGGCAGCAGGAAAAGAGAATTCTCTGATGACAAAGAGCTTTCACAGCATCAGTGAAAATTCCCAGGGGACATATAGTGTGTTGTTTCCTTGATACCTTATTTTTTAGGCTATGCGGCAAAGACTGGCAAATTATTCACCAAACCCATTTCCCTTTCTGTGCTTGTTCCACTTCCCCAGCTTCTGTGGCAATTAGAGTGGTCACGTGACCGAATTCTGGCATATGAGCAAAAGTGACGCACAGCACTTGCAGGCATAGCACGTAAAATCGCCCTGCGTGACCCCTCACTCCATCTCCTCCCAGAATGCTGCCCGCTGCAGAGAACCCAAAGCCCTAAGGGGGCGGCTGGGTCCCCAAATCACCCACCAAATGCATGCAAAGAACTGTTACATGAACAGAAAGTAAATTTCTATTGTGAGAAGCCACTGAACTTGGGAGTTATTCATTATAGCAGCTTGTCTGCCCTGATTGATACAGACCGATTAATACTAACGTTATATCCAATTCTCTTAACGTTTATGTTGAGCTGAAATGTTCATCCTGACATTTGCTGTGACTAGTTTTGGTTTCATTCCTCTATCCCCTGAACCAGGCAGAATGCTCTGTTGCACTCGATGCACCAACTCTGGCGGTCCACAGCGGTACTGCACCGTGACAGAAGCAAAGCCGGGAAATGGACACGCCACGGGAGTGAACGTGACGTTGCGATCTGAGACAATGAGAAAGGAGAAGAAAAAGCAAATCCCAGTCCTAATCCTTCTTGAGAACATTTGCTAGTTTATTCCTTTACCCCATGGCAACAGTTACATAAAGAGATTATGTCCTTGCTTTAAAAAAGAAATTTAAAAAATTTCTTCTTTCAAAATTACATCTAAACTTCAATACCTACCTTAACAGTTCACTTACAGATGCCAGAAGCAGAACGGTCACACGTCCCTGCAACGCAATTTAAGAAAGAAAAAAATAGAAATTTCCTGCAGAAGTAAAAACACAGCATATTCCATTTATTCTGCACACACTAGAAGCTTGTCCTCTCTCTGTAGAAACAACAAGCAGCATTTTTTTTTTTTTTCGTAAAAGGGAGTGAATAGTTTTCCAGGCTTCTCTGTTTCTCCCCAAACAGATGGGCTTTCACATTCGAGAGATGCTGGAGCTGCCATAACCTTGAGTGGATGTGAGCTTGGCCAGATTGCGCTGTCCAAAAGCCAGGACCCAGGGCCCCGGGGAGGTCCCTGGTGCATGTGACTGTGCTCTTGGAGGAACTTGATCACTCCTGCACATTTCTTGAAGCGATCTGCACTTGGAACAGCATTTAGTATGGAGGGAAACACTAGTATAATATCAAGGTGTGTGTAATTGCAAAACTTGCTGTCTCCTGTGGGAAATAAATTCTGCTAATTTGTTGGTAGGAGGTATCATAGTATTTTTTGGTATCAATGTGACCGAAAAATACCTCCCTGGATAAGTGCCAGGCACTGGCACGGAGCTAGCTAAATGCTTTGCGTGTGTTAGTTCATTAAATCCTCACAATAATCCTGTGGAGTAGGCAATTTTATTAATTCCATTTTACAGGTGAGGAGACTGAGGCAGAAAGAGGTTAAATGATGTGCCCAGAGCTGGGCTTGCTAAACATCACGGGGTCTTTGAGCTCAGGCCCATCAGCACTGGAGCAAGCTATGGTGTTAGCTGGTTCATAGTAGGTCATGTCATTTTCCTGCCAAACTATCTCAGTCTGGGGACACATAAAATCTCAGCTTGCTGGGTTTCTTCTTTTTTTTAACCTCAGTATGACATACACCAAAACTTCTGTGTCAAGCATGTCTTATGTAAGATTTTTCCAGTGCATAATCTATTAATGTGAATTGCATCAGCGTCATTGGGTTCTGTCACTTTTTCATGCCATTATAGCACCATTTAGAAACTCATTTAATTTCCGAAAGTCACCGTAGACTGTTCCCTGCCCTCCACGTCTCTCCTCCTTAGTTAACGTGTCATTTTCTCACTCCAGACTCCCTCATTAGAGCCCCTGCAATCTGGCTTCTCTGCCTGATCCTCCACTGACATTCTTTTCTCACCACTGGTTCCATTTCTAATAAATCACATGGGGTTTTCTCCGTCTCTCTTCTTCCACAAGCTCCCTGGATGTTCGACTGTCAGTCACCTCTTCCCTCCAGACATCCCTTCTTCCTCGGCTTCTGCGGGCTCCTTTCCTCTCTGTTATCCCAACACTCCCTCCCTCCAGCGCTCTTCAAGTCTTACTGCTGAGCAGTCTTCCCGAAGCCAGTGATATTCATGACTCTATCTCTCCCTGGAATCCCTAACCGGAACTTGCGGCTTCCAACAAGACCCTTGCGCTTGGAGGACCTTGACTGTTCTAAAGCCACCTCACTCAGCACACACGGCATCAAACCTCTGGCCTTAGCGCAGCCAGCCAGGAAGCTGAGCAGCTCCATTTGCTTGCAGCGCCTTCTGTGCTGTTGGTATGCTAGGACTGGGATCCTGCGCTTGGAGCTCGATAAGAATGATTGGAATGTCTTTAGCCTAGTGTCTAGCATGGAAAAGGTGCTCTGTGAAGCCACTTCCTCTTTCCTTTTCCTTCTCTCTCCTGACCAGTATTTATGGAGTCACCCGGTCTGTTGAGCATGGAAGGAAATGCCGGCTTTATTCCATTCCATCCACCCCACAGCCACCTCCACTGACCCCTCATCCATCAGCCTGGAACAGTATCCGGCCTTTGAGCCCATCTCCCAGCCCTCATTTCTCCAGGGAACCACTCTGTTCACTGACACCAGGTACATCTTTCCAACCCATGGCTGTCATTCAGCAGCTTTCCTGCTAATGAAATCACAGTGGAGTCCTGTTATCAGTGAGATTCCATCAGGGCCCTTCAGCTCAACTTGCAATGCCTTCCATCCATTCAACATTTCCACCCCCATACCTGGAAGTGGGAGCTCTTTCCTTTACTGCACCCAGGGACCCCACCTCCTTATCCACCTGCCGTCTCTGGGTCTTAGTCACATTGTTCCATTTATCGGATACACTTTCCCTCCCTAGAGTTTGTTACTTCAGGATCAAGCTGACCCATAAAGATAGTCTTACTTACGCAGTCCAAAATATTCTTTATTTCCTCTGAATTATTCCAGCATTTACGGTCAAGATCCTGCACCCAATAGAGTGCGTTGGGCTCTTACTGTTGTAAAGACTGATTCAATCACTCCTGAAAATAACTCAGAAAGAGAAGTCCACCTCTTCTTGCCAGTGAGGAAACAGGCTCAAGGGTGAACTGGCCCAAAATTGCACCTGGGATTCGGTTCCAAAGACCACATCCTCACTCCTCACTGGGCTAAATACTCCTGGGTTTGCTCCTTTTTGTCCCCAGTAGGATTTAATGGCACAGATCATGTATGGCACAATTTTTTGCTCTTCCAATTGGCCTACCTAAGGACTGAGAACATAATATTTGTTTGATAAATGCTCATTGATTTAGGCTTCTGACTTCCAGACCTAATAATATTGTGACCCCCTAAAAAGTCAAGCAATTTATGTAAGCAGTGGTCACCAACATTATTTGCCCTGATAAGTAAGAGATAATCATCAGCACCAGGCCAAAGTGACCAGTGATATCCCGATGATAAACTGCTTAACCTCGGCTGTCTTCTGCGTCCTCCTTAAAAATAAGAAAACCAAGGTAAAACACCTAAGAGCTCATTGATATTCTGAAATCATTTTGCTTCCAACTCTTATTTAAGTCATCTCAGGGGTTTTGTTGACATTATCTGCCAAAGATTGGAATTCATCTTTCCAAAAGGAGAGAAGCATCAGCCCATCAAACAACACCCTTCCCTCTACAGAGAGCTGAGGTCTGAGGTTCCCTCCCGATTGCTGGGGCAAGTGCTCCCTACCAGGCCAGCTGCCTGCGCTGGGCCCCTGGATGCATTTCTAAAGGGTCATATTTACAGTGTCAGATGGCTGAGCACTGTGGAGCTTAATGGGATTCTTAATAAAGGCAGCCTTCATTAAGACGGGAGTGCAGGCAAGGTGCCCTTGCTTTTGAGGAAAGGATGACCCAGTGCAAGACGGATGCTCCCCCTT